ATCTCACCCCCCCACTTTCTTACTGGATACTATTGTCGTTGAAGATCTATCATTGGTTCGATAATCTTGGCTTTCAGTGTCGACATTGTATCCACGACTTGGGTTCAACACCAAGCTTTGTAAACCCAGGCGGAGCGCATCCAGATAAGACAGACCTGATGTGGCAGCGGCATCAGGCCCATCGTGCCAGGCCACACTCCCTCTATAACAACTGCACAGAAGCCAGAAAATCCTGTCCAACAATACTTATTCTGCAATTGAACTTCTTCCCAACACGCGGCAGGTAACACTGGAAATAAAAACAGGACGGCAGCACTTTCAAAAAGTAGGCCTCCTTCCCATCTCGGGAAATGTAACATGGCCATTTTTTATTTTTTTTTAAGTCTTTAAAATTACTTTTCTTCCTTTTTTTTTTTTTTTTTTTTTTTTTTTTTCCCTTTTCTTACAGTGCTGCACAGGTCCAAATAGGCCATGACTCGTGTGCTAGTGGAACCGTGCTCCTTTTGAGTCCTGTTTCTTCCCATCTTTTTCCCTGCTAATTTTCAACACTCCAATCCAAAACTCCATACTCCAAGTCTTTCCTTTTTTAACAAAACAAATTTTGTTATATAAGGGCTGGACCCCACAGGCCAAAATCTTGGAAAACGGGCGACGCAAGTGCTTTTCCCGGACCCCACTGGAAGAAATCAGGTTCCTGGAAAGTGTTTTTTTTGTCGCGTTTTCCGCTTCCCGGGACCCCACAGTCTGGAAAAGTGTTTGTGGAAGATGGCACTTTGACTTTTCCACATGTGGTTTCGGTCCGAAATGTGTAATTTTCCGTAGTTGACGGCACAATTTTGTGGCAAACGGACTGGGTAGGGGGGGTGGGGCTGGAAAAGTCTGGAAAACTTCCTTGCACGACCCGGGTCCATGGAGTGTCCGGTAGGTGGCACCTTACGTTCCCGCGGCCCCACGCCACCACCCACACCTCCCGAGTCGGACATCGCGGGCGCCCATACCACCCCAACGGACTTCGCTGGTCCACAATGACGGCACGAGCTTGGAAAAGTCTGGAAGAAATCGCTTTTTCAGGCCTTTTCCAGCCTCTTTGGTGGGGTCCCGTCGTTTCATCCGCGGAATCTTCCAAGTGCCCTTTCCACGATTTCCAAAATAATGCACTTTTCCAAGGTTTTTCCAGTGGGGTCCAGGCCTAAGCCGGGAAACGGGCCCAGCGTCCCTTGACAAATCGTTGTCGTGGTCCCCCGTCCGGTTGGCATCACCATTCCCACCATTCTCAGAGGGGGAAACACAGGCCCCCAGTGGAAACGGAAAACCTGATGTGGCTCCCCACGAATAGAATGGAGCAAAATTGAACCCACAAAAAAAAAAACAAAAAAAAAACTGATGCTGCCGCAGTTGTTTCCTTTTCTTTTTCCCTTTTCCGGCGACAGGGGCCCCTGTACCTGTGATAGATTGGTCTCATTCTCCAGCTGCCGGCATTTTGAACGATGCGGCTTCCCACGAACAGAATGGATCAAAATTGACCCCCCCCCCCCCCCCCATCAAAAAAAAAAAAAAAAAAAAAACTGCTGCGCCCGCAGTTGCTTCCTTTTCTTTTCCGCTTTTCCGTCGACAGGGGCCCCCATACCTGTGATAGATTGGTCTCATTCTCCAGCTGCCGGCATTTCGAACGAAGATTCACCAGCTCTATCTTCAGACTGTCAATCTACAAGGCCAAGCACAATCACAGAGGTGACATCTTGTCAGACAGAAGGACCCAAAAGAAAACACAGAAAAACAACCCCCCCTTCCCCATTTTTTAACTATGTGTAAGGGCACACCAATGTCGAAACATCACGAAATTCGACATATGTCAGGAGATTTTCGACATTCCCTCTTTCGACCGAAAACCCCTCTTCACCACACCGATTGTCCAAGTGAAGAACTCACGAGTCGTATACACAAAAGAGACAAACTGGGGTGAAGATAGGACAAGCGTTGGTGCGTTCTCTTTTTCGACATTCGGGCAAGAATTCTACATCCCATCCGAGGACTGTTGAAATTGTGCAAGTTGCAGGCCTGAAGTGGAAACGTCACACGAGCCCTTCTCGA